TTTATATGAAAAATTGGCACTGGACACCTTGATGGGACTGATAGATTTAACCGTTTCACAGGAAAATGAAGTTTTCCACAATAATGTACTAATATTTCGAGTGAATCTGAGACACCGACCCTTCTATTCATGATTATGTACCTGTAAGCCCTGAAAGCACCTCTAACTTGGACCAGGCACTCAAGGATTAATCTGATCTAGCCAGATTCCGGGCTATTGATTCGCTGGAATGGCCTACTGAAAGCCAAGAGTTCCTGCCAAGAGCTCCTGATAAATAATTTTGTAATGAGGAGCTGGTGATGAAAATATAACCTTATCTATTGATTAAGGCATTTCTCATCCGGAACAACTAGAATCATAACTCTCTATTGATAAACTGATTGCTTTTCCATCTATTCTTATTTTATGGTCATCATAAAGTATAAAGATTTTCACGTGTAGGGCATATTTTCATTTGCTTACGCAATAATCCGGATTATAAATGACGGATATTGTCACAAAAAAAGGAGAGAGTCATATGCAAAATGCGCGAAGTCTGCAGATAACACCGAAGATCCACCTTAACAACTGAGGAGTAGAGAAAAAATCTTCAGACAAGCACGGCTCTAGACATATCTAGGTGGATATACGTTTGTATCTGATTGGATTTAGTGCTTTTTTGGGAGAGTATCATGCGATTTACATGAGTAGAGAAACGGATCAACAAAAAAGGATCGAAGTATTTCTTAAGATGGAAAAAGAAAAGAGAACAATGCTATTATCTAACGTGAAGAGGTGAAAGTACCCGTAGGGAGGGGGTAATTTAATCCACTTATCTCCTCAAATTGCCAACGCTTTGCTGAATGCATGTGTGCATGCCCTCCAATTTGCTCACATTGACGAATACATGCCAAGGTATTGGAAGATGGCTATATAATTTTTGAACATCTGCGCAATTTCGTGTAATTCTTCTCCATACAAATTACATGATCTAACACATTTCCATTAATTTTTGACTAACAAAACATAATGTTACGTTCTAGTTTTACATTAAAATGATATCCATTTACAATTGGCAGGCAGATATATAATCCAATTATTATAATATCATTATTCTCATTATTACATGCTATTATTCCTATTATCATTATAACAATTACTATTATCATTATTGTTATTGTTGTATTAATCGTAAGTGTATGACATGAATAAATTATCTTCCTCTCCATTACAGTTTCTCGTAAAAAATACCTCATATGTACAGAACAATTTATCCACAGTATATCCATCTGATCTGCTCAATTATAACAATGCTGATAATCATTTGAAGACCAAGCTAAATTTCGAATCAACCTCCTCATCACAAATTATGACTATTAAACTATCAAATTTCCTCTGAAATCTCGGTCACAACATCAAAATTTTCTCACCTGCTCACCGAATCTTCAAAATTTCTTCAATCTTACGTACGGTTCCGGAGTTTGTTTACGATTCGAGTTGTTTGTCAGCAGTTTTCTAATTGCAAATTGCGAGAAAAATCAATGAAAATGAAAGAAATCTTTTACAAGAACGCATTCACAAACAGAGAATGACTTTAATAATTGAGGTCATAAAACTGACTAGGGGATCATCATTAGGATATGCTGAAGGATATATTCATATCTAACGATATCTCTAAGCGTGAATCATAAATCTCAAAACTGATGAGACTCTGAGACGTGAGTGAATGAAATTAGCATAAAAACGTTCTCTTCACATCAAAATTTTACGATCGGAAGCAGTTGCTTGAATGCGGTGCGACGTTTCACTTACACTAAACAATCAAATGCAAATAATCTAATTCATCTGTCAACCGGAAGTGCTTGCTTATTCAGTCCAAAGATTCAACGGATCTCCAATAAAATCTTGAATATTAAATACTAAAACTGAAAATCTGGGCAGATAACAACCGTAATATTTATGGATCATCTCAGCTGCCACACACACACATGCCCATAAAGGATCCACTAGATCAAGCACACAAACCCTACAAACGGCAGTCTCATTCTCAACTTAAATTATGAATGATCCATGTTCAGTGTTGGAGTCTCACTTCAGTTTACTGCAACTAATTCAAAGAAGAAAGAGGAAAATGAAAGAAAAAATTCATTAGCAGCGCAATCATTTCTTCTCGTTTTGACTGGACCAATTCAAAACGAACAAAATTCAAAACCAAAAACTGCACAGTTCCAAAGATTCAGAAGTCCACTTAAGATATCAATTATTAATGAANTTATCAATTACTGTTTCATTTTCTAATGACAATTTCTAATGACAATGACAACAGACAATCAAGATATCAGTTATTGTTTTCAAATGAAAGTGCTGATGATAAGACTATTATCATTTGCGATCTTCTCACTGTTTGTATTGAAGAAAACGACAACTTGTAAATTACATGAATGAATTAATTTCCCTTTATCCAATCCTCTACAGTATCATCTCATCTTATTAGATCTTGTTCGATTCTTATAGTGAAAGATATGCTGATCTGCATGTTCTCCATGATTTGTCTGTTCTAGCCACGCCTTCTGTACGTATACTATCCAACGGATCACAAGCATAGCCATATGCGCCATAGAATCTCTCTGTTCTGTATATTTGAGTATATATATCCAATCCCATCACAGACACGAGATCAAATTGTAACATTTGGTATTCAAGATCTTGAAGTTCAGTCCAGTCAGCTTAGAGAGCAGAGTTATACTCGTCTCCCTGAAATATATTTCTTCTGAAGATTTTTCAGCCGAATTCAATTAATTCAATAAATTAGGATACTCAATTCTTCTTCCCNCAGCTGTCCTGCTCAAGCAAATCTTAATCTCAAGATTAAGTTATGTTCAACATTTCACCTGATCGAGATTCACATCTAAATTACAATTCATCCTCGTCCATGTACATCAAACACCGTCCATCCACTTCCCAGCAGCAAGAAGGAGTAAGTTTCTTTAGATTCATTCATTCCACTGCCTTATTTTAAAGGATAAACCTTCAAGTTTACCTACTTTATCATCTTTATCCGATCTGTCTAGTATGTTACATTCCTTTGCGAATATAGACAGATATGCGTATCAAATGCATTTCAACATTTGTGACTCTTTACTTTCTATATTCACGCTTGCTACAGTAATTTGATCAACGTATCATCGCACTGTCTTTGTCCTACCAGTGGACCTTTTTTTTTAACTATTCTAGAATACCCGTTAAACTCTCAGAAATCCTTGTCATATATGAATATCTGTAATACAGACTTTATGGATATACCAGTAACTTCCCTCTGATTCATCCAATAACCTGCCTTAAGTTCATTCTGTTGAAGATTCAAACCAACAATATCTTCCGCAAGAGCAACCAAAAGCAAATGGAGAAACGAGCGAAACGGAAGTATCGATGCCGAGTGCGGAGTCCCGAGACAGTTCATCGCTCTAAACGTGTGCGACGATCTAAAGCCAATGATCGGGAGCGCAGACGGATGCATAGTCTCAACGACGCGCTCGAGGAACTGCGAAAAGCATTACCTCAATTACCTCAGGAGCCGAAACTCACCAAAATCGGTCAGTTTCACAAATTTCAGCAACATTTTAGACCGGTCAAAATTTTTCCGAGCTCTCGGTTCAGGATTTTCGCATGTGATCAAAATCCTCCGATAGACAGCTCCGAGAGATCATATTCCTTTGAACTAACGGATCATTTCATAACCATTCATTCTAAAGCCCCTGGTTCGTAGATATCATGTCCTAGCAACGAAAAAAAAAAATTCGCTATCCATCGCTGTTTCACGATCCTCCCAAGGAATCCAACTCGTAAGAAGAATCCAATAACCCAAGGTCTACTCTTTCCGGATTAGCCAACACTCTCCCACTGTCTCATTAATCGATTCCATGTGTCACTCTTCAAACTACTCACCACGGCTTTGAGCACAACCTTCTACAACTACCAAATCCTCTGTTATTTCATAAGTCAAATCTAAATCCAGGTCAAATCTCTTATCTTAATCCATCAAATTTGCAGAAACCCTTCGNATTCAATATCACCATCTTATCATACTTATCCCCAAAACTTATCGAATTTCAACTATTTATGATCCCTACTATTCTTTCTACCTTTATCCAGTTATATCAAATTTATCAAAACGCATTCTAATTTAAAGGTGGTTGTTTAATAGCAAATGTTGTTTACTTTGTAATTTTTGTTATTGCTGTCATTATTACTATTTTCATTGCAATGTTACCCAATCGCTCACGTAATGTAACCAAACAAATCACCCAAAGCAAATCCCTTCGGATAGTCGGCACATCCTTATCTATTCATGAAAAATAAACTTCCAATGAAGTCCTCGGTTATTTGTCGAACAGATTATGGTTATGCAAAGTGTGCAATCTAAACCTTTTCATGCCTGTCGGTCTTTCAGTAAATTTCTTAGAAGTTCATTACACCACAGGTGTGCTAGCCTAATAAAAGCCCATTTTCGAACCACCATTATTATGACATGACTAGACTTCATAATAAGTTTTCTTTTACTATTGCACATATTTGTATTGATCTCAAATTACTGTGTACACAACAATAACAGTAATAATAATGGTAAGCATTCGTATCATCTTTGATATGTGAAGTAATTACGAAGATAATAATATTGATGAACAAAACTTGCCACTTGTTTAATTACAATGTACTATATGATGAAAATAAATGTTATGCTTTATATTTCACTTATTGTTACCTAGTAATGTTCTATTATTTCAAGTAAGTCACAAATGTAATCCATAGTAATAACTCATTAGTTTATCACATTCTGTTTTTCCGATTTAAAAATATTTCAAGAAATAACATCTAAGAAAGAAGCAAATCATTAATCTCATTCTCACATGCTCATTTCCACGTCCATTTTGCTTCCATCTCAGAAATTTATTTCCTCCAACCAAAATTCATACCGTCCATAATAAACACAATTTTTATTCTTCGCGATTGAGTCAGCATAATTTCTTCCCAAATCTCATTGAATCTCGAATCTAGAGGTTGACAACAGACAACATCTACAGCTCCTCATTCCATTTCTCAAACTTATCAAAGAATAGAAATAAAAGTCCATAAAAACTTCATATATTGCCATAACTCTCAATACAAGCTATAAGATACAACAACTCTTGCACAATATCATTTCGAAAGCCTCTCAAAGTCAAAAACCTACTGTGAAAACACTCAATATCATACGAAGACACATACTCAATACTCACTCAAATTTGTGATCAATTAACCGTGAAAATTATCCACTTCATTACATTCACCCACAATAAACACTCATTCAATAAAGCAATTTGATATCATAAATTCATCTAAATCATCTGAATCTCTCTAAGGACTCATAAAGGCTTAAGAATTCCTAGTGATCAGCTCAAATCAGATCGAATATCCACAAAAGATCTGATGGCTAAGAACTGTCAACAGCTGGTCACAGTAATCACTCTATATGTCTTATACAACTATGTACAAAAAGTATGTGATATCTCTCGTCAAGAAGAGAAACTAATGTAAACAAAGGAAGGTAATCAATTAAGAACGCTTCATTAACTCGTTAACAGCACCTCAATCATCATCATCATCATCACATTCTAATCCCCATTATGAACTGCTAAATCTCATAAAGTATTTAATGTCCTCAGCTGTGCATTTATTCCATTGCATTATATCACAAACACACAAATCGCCATGATATCCCTGTAACGAATTGTCGAGTTGTCAACAATCGTTTATTAGTCAATTACC